GTAAATTGTGAGTGGCCATTTTACTAGTTAGCTGTAAATTAGGTAATAGTATAAATAGCAATGTTAAAACACAGTCTGTTAAAAAAGCAGGAGACAACATCATTTCTAATATTCCTGAATAAAGCAACAGTGTTGAAGACTGAATTCTGCTTCCCGGCCACTAGTGCGAATGGAATCACTAGCTAATTCATTTTCAAAAATGCTTGCTTAGAAAATCCAAATTAATGTATTAATGTATGTCACTTAAATGCAGAATTAAGTAATAGTTGCTATGATTCCTAGCTGTATATAAAAGAAATAACTTTTTGCATCAAGGAAGAAATCAAAGTCATTAACAACCATTTAACTACTTTTAAACACAAGATGCTTTGGCTATGAAATTTGTTTCAAGCACCCTTTAAAGGCAATCAAACTGGAATAATGCAGTAGTAAATATGGCCCTGAGGCTGGAATATCAAAATATGGCACTGTAGGTAACCCTAATAAAAATCAGTGTATGGAGTATTTTTAGATTGTGATACTTAAGTCTCTTGGTGGGTCATTATTTTCTTAGTTGTAGTCACGTCCAGAGACAACAAAGCCCAGAAAAGCTCATCTTCATTCAAAATGCAAGGCTAGTTTTACACAGTTAAAAGTCAGTAGCATGCTTGTTAGTGGAACTAAAGTTTGTGATTCCACTCAAATTCTCAACCCAATAAAAGGCATACAGCTAACAAGAATCTGAGGTTCAACACAGACATGAGGAAAACAAAATAGTTTATGAATTCAGTAACCCACAAAGCATACTCAAAAAGAAATTATTTGGGGGGCTGTGTCCAAATCCAAAGGAATGTATTCTTGTATTGCCAAACCTATAAGATTTGCTGCTATTCCATACTGGTTTATCATGGATGCCAGACACTAATCTTAAATGGAAAGAGCAAGGACCACATTTAGAAAATGCAAGTAATGGAATATTTGTTTTAACCACTGCCCATAAATAATACACATTTCCAGCTTCTCATGGATATATAATCCACTAATTAAAAAAAAAAAACCATGAACACTGCTCTCCTAATACCATTTGTCCAAAAGTGCTCATTGGAAAGGCTCTGTAACAAAATTCTGCTTGGATCACTTTGTCTTAAAGCACTGACTGGTTTATATTAGCAACATAGATGTATGAGAATTCTTTAGACTATTTCATATAACTTCTTATCAGTTACTACTATTTTAGACTGTGATCCTATAATTTGTTCTGCATGGGCAGACCCATCAGTTCTCACCAAGCCTCACTGAAGTCAATGGGGCTTTGCATGGAATCAGGGGTTCTATGTGGTTAAAGAAGTTTCTGGGGCTTTAGTGTCTTTTCAATTTTCAGTCATATTAAATAGTCAGATTTGCTCTATAATATAAAAATATAAATTGTAAAAACAAAGGCATTGTTTAAGTATCTTCCATCTTATTGCATCATCCATGTATCTTTTATAGAAACTATTAGAAGAAAAGAATTCTTGTTAATATATTACAATACAATCAAGAAAATTTCATTTAGTATTTTACCCTGCTCCTTAGTCCATATACCCTTCTCTCACAGAAGAATTGCTGGTTTCAGCAATTGTATCAGAGATGCTCATAAAAAAAATAATTTGCTTTCCTAAATAAGCTTGGACACACATTGCCTTATCATCACCACAACTTTTCTCATCATATATTTTCATACCCTGCCTGTTCATAAGAATGAAGAAGACTGGTCTGTGGAAGGCTGACATAAAATAAGGTGCATGTTCATGAATGAAAATAGAGCTGGTATATCTAATTTTAGGTCTACCAGCCTTTAACCGGATCCCTTTACGTAGGTCTCTGCATTGTGGTTACATTCATAAGATTTGTGAGAAGTTTCAAGTTGGGGGGGGGGGATGTATTCTCAGAAGATTTCACACTTTTGCACTGTCAAAACACTTGTAATTTTATGCCAAAAGATGCTCCTGATAGTACTTTTTGCCTCAAAGTCCATCAAGGACCCTAGAAACAGAAGTAAATTGGAATAATGGGAATTCAATCCAAATTTATTCCAGCTAATAAATGTGAAATAATCACAGATTTGCCATGACAAAAAAACAGTAGCTCGTAATTTTAGTTGAGTCTCTCCACCCTCAAAAGTCATGTCATACATTTTGTCAAACGTGTTAAGTGCTTTAATTTAAAAATTTATTAAAGGTATAATAAACCATTCTAATAAGAAAAAACCATAATACACTTAGATTATTGATACAATTCTCATAAAAAAAGTTAACAGGTCTTGTTTTCCTAAGGAATGTTACACATTCCCACATTACATGGTGTTACAGAATTATCGTAATTTCTAAATGCATTTTATTAAATGCAGAAGCATTATTTGTTGGTAAGACAGAGAGAGATAGTGCAGCATCCATTTTTACTAGGTTAGTGTTTAGAAGGCTATCTTCACAACCATAAGGACTATAATCATATGGCCTGATTTTCAATTCCTATTGATTCTAATAGGATTTGTGAATGTTCAACTCCTCTAAAAGTCAGGCCCCTTTTAAAATTAAAGTTAAAATGTCTCTGCAGGAGTAGCTATGATTTTTAAATTTAAACTGCAAAAAACTGTGGAATCTGTTAACAACCACAACAGAGTAACAAATGACCAGCCTGAGTTATGACTATGTAATCACAGCAAATTGAAAAGAGAGAACTTATATCAGCTAGATTCTGCCTGGCTTTTAGGTGGGTACAAAACACACTTAAGGGATGGGCCGAACAGCAGTCTCTATTCTTTCCAGTTACTCTCCTGGGGGTACACTGCACCCCAAAGGTGGCAGGAAGAGGTAGAACTATGGCTGGAGCTATGGCTAGTCAGTTGTCAGCAGAGATGGCTCACCATGCAAAGGGAGTATGCTTCACCCCTTAAAGTAGTGCAGCAGTTTGTGTGCTCCTGTGCACAGTGGGGGACTCTGGGAGACAGTTGCATGTGCAGCACAAGGGAGGTGTGGCTTTCTCCTGCCCTCAAAGGAAGGCTGTAGCTAAATGTCACAATCTTCAAAATAAAAGACCTGATCCTTACCTCATTTACACAAGTGCAAATTAATATCTCACAAGATGGCAATGAAATTACACTAGTATAAACGTGATGTTAACAAGAGGAGACTCAGCCATGAAGTTCCCAAATTAGAAGATTTGAACATACCTAACAAACACAAGCTATCTCACTCGCTCTCCTTCTCTAATGCCATTCCAGGGACTAGATGGTAACAGCAACTAAAATACTTCTGCCACCTGAAAATAAGTTTTTCAATGCAACTATTCCTGGATCAGCAAACCAAAAAATAATGTATCTGCTGATTACTTGTATGAGTTCTCAGTCTTATCAATTTAGTACCCAAAAAGGATACAAAAGTTTGCAGTATTCAAATAAATTATCCAAAAATGATTTTCTGGAGTTGGATCAAGTTTTCTCTCATCAGCATTCAGCACCAGTGCCACAGCAAGCAGAATAACAAGAGAGGAAATACAAAACATGAGGAGCGGATGAACTAAAGGGAGAGCAGTGATGAAGAAAATATGTTCCTTCTTAATTTAGATAGCAAGGACAAAGTCATGGACTGCAGTTCCTTATTTTTATTTATGAGAGCATCCTTCCAGTGATCAGGATCTGTACTGCATCGAAGTATGGAAGTCGCTTTAGAACATTTCACATTAGTCTGTAGGAAACCACTGATGGATTCATTTGTACAATTAACAGAACTAGAACACACCATGTGTGCACAGACATATGTCACAATCTTTTATTGCATACACTATGGTAGCTCTGATAAATTATTTGGATTCTTTTTTTGTTCACCTTACAACACACTCAGGAGCAAAACCCTAAGCCCAGCACTCAGTAAATATTCCACAAAACCTTTTTTTTTTTTTTTTTACAAAACCTGTTTGTTTCTGCCTTACAGTTTATTTATTGGTGATGGTGGTGGTGCAGGAAGCGGAAGAGGAGCAAAGGGAAGGTTTTCAGTGCCACCGCTGATAAGTTTGACCGTTACATTTATTTTCTTTGGCAGTCAACACTGACATTTTGGTCTAAGCTTCTACAATAAGATAATCTTAGATTGTTATTTTTCATTTCCTCTCCCCTTTCTTTTCCTCCTTTCAGCTAGGAAAGAGAAAGTGCCCCCCACTCCCCCCAAAAAAGCTTTTAAAATACTCCCCATTTTTATTTCTATGACATCCCCCTATTGCTATCAAAAGATAACGGGCAACTAACTAGTGTCACCACTACAGCTTCTTCTTGCCTAAGATAGTATTCTATGTTCTATGACATGAGCTCTAGTGGCAGCCATGTCAGTTTCCCTGATTATGATATACTATACTGTAGGTACATCACTAGGATAGAATTTTTAAAAGTGCCTAAATCTCATTGATTTTCAATGGGACTTAGATGTCTACATCACTTGAGCTCTTTTGAAAATTGTACCCAAAGTCTATGGCATCAGATAGCAAGCAAGCTAGTCAAAACTTGTTAAAACATATTCATAATTTTAGAGAAAGTTTAAAGGGTGACATTTTCAAAGGTGACCCCATATTTTCAGATTGGACATTTCAGAAATTATAATTCTCCATGCAAGCAACCAGGACTTTAAGGGTGAACTTACTTTAAAGTTTATACAGCAATCTTTGTTTCCTTAACCAAAACATCTGAACTGTTGTATAGCTGATCCCCAACTTGATTTAACTATTAAATGCAATTTTACAAAATTCATTCTAGTTGATTAAAAAAAGATCTTGCAACAGCTACAATTCTAGGGCCATATTCTGTGCCCTCAGTTACATACATGCAACCCTCATGAAGATCAGTTGGGACAAGAGGTTTGCAGACATATAACTAAGGGAAGAATTTGGCACCCGTGGTCTATCTCTATTATGAAGTCCATCCTAAAATTTATTTATCTTCCCCAACACTCACATGGGAGGCACAATAAATTAACAACATAAAAATGTCATACCGAGGTACTGAACACCAAGTCTTTTGCATGATTCCAGGCAGGCTTGTTTTGTGTTTTCATAGCCATAGTCACTATGCCAGAGTTTGGTAGTTATCCAGAGGTCCTCTCGCTTCACATCACTTTCTTTGATAGCTTTCTGAAGGAGTGATTCACAGCCGTATCTTTTTGCTGTATCAATATGACGAATGCCACATTTTTGTAGTGCATACACCACAGCATCATGGGAATATCCACCTTGATGGGATGTACCTAAGCAAAAGTTAATAGGCGTGAATTGTTATTACTTAGTGATAAACAGAATTTTGCCAGATTGTCACTGTTGTGACAATTAACACAGTGAGTCCCCAAATAATTATACAAAAGAAATGGGAATTGAACGAAAGCGTATACTAAAAAAATACAGACCCTAGGAGAAAACAGGGTCTAATTCTGATCTCATCTACATTGGTGTAAATCAGGAGCAACTACACTAAAATCATTGGCATTTCAGCAGTATACAAGTGTAAAAACGTGAGATCAGAATCAGGCCTATAGGATTTCATGACCTATGAGCATACACTACTATAATTAGTTACTTCTGAAACCAGTATCCTTAGAGAAGGACAGAGACAAGTTATATACAGTATGGCAAATAAATATAAACCACATTCATTCTCCATGTTGGGTGTAATATATATATTTATATGGTGAAAATATTAATTAAATATTAAAGTAAAAAATGAAAGTATCAGTATGTCACTTCTTAAAAAGAATGAGTTAGATTCAGCAATTTGCTGTGTAAGAGACAAATCCTGAGGTCTTTACTCCATCAAATTCCATGGAGCCCCAGGTCAATATTACACTACAATATTACATAAAGGGCCATATTAATCTCCAGCGTAAATAGTGTAATTCCCATATAAATTTCCCAGCCAAATTCATTGAACTGAAACAGTAGTGTAAGCTACAGATGGGATAGCACAGTGGTTCTCAATTGGTAGTCTGTGGCCCCCTGGGGTTCCGCGAGGCCTTTCAGCGGGGCCGTGGAGCTCCGCAGCTGAAACCCGGTGCCCTGAGCCCCACTGCTGAAGCCAGGAACAGCATGGGGCTGAAGCTGGCGGCCCCCTGCCCCAGCCAGGAGCGGCACTGGGCTGAAGCCAGTACCTCTCCCCCCCCCCAGCCCCTAAAACCAGGAGCGACATGGGGCTGAAATCAGCAAACCTCCCCCCGCCCAAGCCAGGAGCAGCAGGGTGCTGAAGCTGGGAGCCCCAGCGTCGCCAGCCCCCCCCCCCTGAAGCTGAGAGCTGCACAGGGAGCCCCCCCTCACCCATATAGAGCCCCTATCTACCCCCTGCCTGCACGCTGAGCTACCCCCATGCCTGCACACACCCCTATCTACCCCCTGCCTGCACGCTGAGCTACCCCCCTGCCTGCACACACCCCTATCTACCCCCTGCCTGCACCCTGAGCTACCCCCCTGCCTGGACACACCCCTACCTACCCCCTGCCTGCACGCTGAGCTACCCCCTGCCTGCACACACCCCTATCTACCTCCTCCCAGCACCCTGAGCAGTTTTCAAACTTTTTGAACTGAGTACCCCTTGGAGTTATATATTTTGGTTGCATTCCCCCACAGCCCAGACAAGCTGGGTGGCCTCTTGAGGGAGTCTGGGGGTGGAGGTGGTGCTTCCTCCCTGGACTGTGCTGTGTGGAGCTGGCTCAAGTCCTGCCAGCCTTCCCCCTCCCTCCCCCAAATAGAAGTAAAACTATTCCTATGCCCAAGGGTCCACCCGGAGCCTGTTCCCTGCACTCCCCCCGCCCATTCCCCTGCCAGGCCCTGGCGTTTTTACAGCATGCTGAGTGGGGCCTCAGCAACAAAAAGGTTGAGAACCCCTGGGATAGAAAATGGACATAAATGGGGTTTAAATGATAAGACAGTGTAATTTGTACTGCCTAGGCATTCATTGGATGTACTAAATAAATGTATTTTACATGTCAAGGGGATGGAATACTTAGCAGGAAAAGCCATTAGCAGAAGGTCTATTAGATAAAGAGTGTTTGTGAGTGTGAAGAGGGGGCTGTTTTATCTTCTATCTTCCTATTAGTTGTTTTTCCTGCTAAGAGCCACCCACCCCTTCACAGTCTTTTCCCAACAGCAATATTTTCCACAATCTCTGTTTGGGGAACTTATAAAAATGAGTTTCTAAGACTATGACTGCTATCAAAGGCCCTAGTCCTGTAACTGACAGTGGGCAGGCAGATTGCTGCATCCGCATTAAGGCTCCTCATTGGGGCTCTCCATGGGCACAGCAGTCTGCCTGCATCAATACAAATTGCAGTATCAGGCCCTACATGATAACCAAGTCATTGTTGAACCTAAAAGGGATAAAGGACTCCAGGTTGCAGAAGAATATTATTCAAGTGACGTATCCCCTGCTGGTTTTCTCCACCCTCCAAACCTGTTTCATTTTACACTGAACACAAAGATCCACACCTTTACCAGATAAGTATACTGTATATATCAGGGGTGGGCAAACTACAGCCCATCAGCCATTTTAAGCCAGCCCTCAAGCTCCCGCTGGGGAGCAGGGTCTGGGGCTTGCCCCCCTTCGGCGCTCCAGCCGGGTAGCAGGGTCGGGGGCCGCTCCACGCAGCTCCCAGAAGCAGCAGCATGGCCCCCCTCCGGTGCTCCAATGGGAGCTGCAGGGGCAGTGCCTGCCGATGGGCAGCGTGCAGAGCCGCCTGGCTGTGCCTCCACGTAGGAGCTGGAGAAGGGACATGCTGCTGCTTCTGGGTGCTGCTTGAGGGAAGCGCCGCCTGGAGCCTGAACCCCTGAGCCTCTCCCCTGCCCCTACCCCCTGCCCAGCCCTGATCCCCATCCTGCCCTCCGAACCCCTTGATCCCAGCCTGGAGCACCCTCCTGCACCCCGACCCCCCCCACCCCCTGAACGCCTCATTTTTGGCCCCATCCCCAACCAGAGCCCTCACCCCCTCCTGCACCCCAACTCCAATTTTCTGAGCATTCATGGCCCGCCATACAATTTCCATACCCAGAGGTGGCCCTCAGGCCAAAAAGTTTGCCCACCCCTGGTGTATAGTCACTAGGGTTATCACAAGGGAGAATTACGGGAAATATATAAAATAATAGTGTTTTTTCTACCCTCACCCTAGTATCCACTATTCCTGGATAGCGGGAAAAGTGGGAGTCACTGCCCACCTTGGTCCATGAGACTCTGCCTCTTGGAACTTTCTAAACCCCAGTGGCTGTCAATCCATGGCCCATGGGCTGCTTGCAGCTCAATCAGCACACAGATGTGGCCCATGCGACATCCTCAGGGTCGTACAGTTAGTATATATATTGCGTGGATGTGGCCCACATAACACACAGAGAACAGCATATGTGGCCCACGATGGTAAATACGTTGGGAATCACTGTTTTAAACAATCGGTGTTGGAATGAGAAGAGTTTAGGGAATTCCTATGTTGCATGAATAAAGCAAGCTAGATTCTCCTAAAATTCTTGTAACAGTATGTCCAATCACTATCTCAGAATGAAGGTCATGATTAGGTAGCTGCCTAATCTCTCCCATTACACCATGCCAATTTTAAACAAAACAGATTTAACCTGATAGGTGTACTAACTTTAAGTTGATGTAACACCACTGACTTCAGTGGAGGGACTCCTGATTTTAAACAGTGCAAGTAAAATCAGAATCAGGCTTAATGAATGGATAATACTGTACTGTTGCACAGCAAATCTTTTACTTCTTCAAATATGAAATAAAGTTTAATATTTTAAAAGTGAAAAAACACGGGGCGGGTATTAAACACTGGCAGTAAATATGAATAATATGAGAGTTTGTTCACAGAAGATCCAGAAATGAGTATGCGTATATTTGTTTCACATTAAAATTCACAAAGCTAAAACAAATTATGTTCATATACTAGATGTTGCAAAAGCTTCATATTAACTGTTTAGAAATTTTAAATGAATATATATTACCACACTTGAACCATTTAAAAAGAATATCCTTATATAATTACACCATGAGATGTTAAAGGAATGTAGAATTATATAACTACCACAGAAAAGTTACTACACTTTTACATAATCATCTTTTCACTTTTAATAAGCTACTCTTGACACCAAATAAATTAGGTTGTAACTATTGTGTCTGTTTGTGGTTGAATAGACATTTCCAAGTACGGAATGAATGAAGTTCATTCAGAGGTCTTGCACATGGGCTCAGACCCTTTTCATGCATAATGCATTCAAGTAAGAATATTTAGGACACATAAACTTTTATTTTTTAACCCTTTTATGATGGGGAATTGTGGAGATTTCAGTTTGTTATTGTTTCTCTTCTAATGATCAAGTGTGTAATATGTTCAGAGGAAATTAACAGACAACAGGGAGGAATTCTCTGAATACAGTATCTGTAAATTAAAATTAGCCATATCACATAGCTACAGAAAATGTAAAAAGTCCCTCAACAATTAGAGAGAGTAGTAAATACTATGAACAACTGATATCATGAAAACCAGGAATTAAAGAACTAATAATGCTACTCAGACTAGGGATTCTAGGAATTGCAGGCTTCTCATATTGTTCATACTGTTGCAGTACCACATGTGCTGTAATTCAGAAGGGCACAAAGACGAGTTAAGGATAGAGGTATAGCCTTAACTCTGAACTTATTTATTTTTTCTTTATTTTTGGTTGGTTGGGTTTTTTTTTAAATGTTTATTGTTAAGTCAGACTTTTACCATTATTTGAATGTACTATCTGGGTCTGTTGTTGTTTAACATCTTTATTTACTACCTGGATGTAGGAATAGAGAGCATACTGATCAAGTTTGAAGATGACACAAAGCTAGCGGGGGGTTACCAATACTTTGGAGGATAGAGCTAAAATTCAGAGGGATCTTGATAAATTTGAGAACTGGGCTAAACAATTAAATGAAATTCAAAGGTAAGATACTACACTTAGGGAAGAAAAAACAAACGCACAAATATAGAGTGGGGGGAAAGTGGCTTGGCAGAAGCACTACTGAGAAGGATCTGGGAGTTGTGGTGGATCACAACCTCAACATGAGCCAGCAATGCAACGCTGTTGCAAAAAATGCAAATACAATTTTAGGTTGCATTAGCAGAGGCATAGCATGCAAGTCACAGGAGGTGATAGTACCGCTCTACTCGGCGCTGGTTAGGCCTCAGCTGGAGTACTGTGTCCAATTTTGGTCACCAATGTATAGAAAGGATGTGGAGAAACTGGAAAGGATCCAGAGGCAAGTGACAAAGATGATCAAAGGGATGGAATACAAGCTATATGAGGAAAGGCTGAAGGAACTTTAGTTTGGAAAAGAGGAGATTAAGGGGGGGATATGATAGTCTTCAGATACTTGAAAGGCTGCCATAAAAAATATGGAGGAAAGTTGTTCTCTCTTGCCACAGAGGGCAGGACAAGAGGCAATGGGTTCAAACTACAGCATAGCAGCTTTAGATTAAATCTCAGGAAAAACTTCCTAACTGTAAAAACAGTAGGACAATGGAACAGACGCCTCGGGAGGTTGTGGAAGCTTCTTCGCTGGAGGTTTTCAAAAGGAGGCTGGATGGTTTAGACACAACAAATCCTGCATCTTGGCAGGGGATTAGACTAGATGACCCTTGGGTCCCTTCTAACGCTACGGTTCTATGATTCTTTAAAGTAACTTCTTTTTGGAGTATTTGGTGCTAACTTTTGTTTCAGATATATAACTAATTCCCACGGAGTTGCATGTATGTATTTCAAGAAAAAATGTGGCCCTTTGTTTTTCACAAGTTTAAAATAATAATCTGCAAGACCAGACAATCATTCTACCTCTTCTTCACCCAAAAAGCTCTTTGCTGTCAATGCATTTTTTCTTTAGAGTCCTCTGATCAACCCAATATATGAATTAATTACATTTGATTAAGAGACAACACCAGGCAAGTTTTCCTCAATTAAAGAAACCACATGCATGGGTTTTCATGCAATTTGATATTAGCAATTCAATCATTAAAGTCTGTTCAGTCGAGCCCTTGCTCTGGCACTCCAGGAACAGTGCCACACAAGAATCCAACTACACCAAAGTTCAGGTGGCCAGAGGAACTGTTTTTATAATGTAGTTGGTAAAGGCTGAAGAGCAATTATGAGAGGGATAACATGCTAAAGAGCAAAAAATTAAGTAACCTCCATCCCCTTCCTCCCCAGAGTTTGCTGTCCAAATCTCAGCAGGTCTACCAAGCAGCTCCCTTACCCTTCTCTCTCCTCCTTCACTGGAAGTTGTAGATATTTTGCTAGAGATGCTTTGGGTCAATAGTAATGTAAAGGAGTACCAGGCACTACTTTTTTTCCTTGGAGAACTAGATCCTAAAGCTGTGTGTGCTAATATGAAAAATGATCCAGTTTCATATTAATTTATAACCTTGTAATATCTAAAATAATAGGGTCTGATTTTCCACTGTGGTACTCTTGTTTTACTATTATTAACTTTATGTCCTTGAAGTCAATGGGTCTACGTACATGTGTAAGTCTTTACATGACTCTGACCATGGGAAAGAAAAGCATATGTAGAGTCCATGAGCATGCTAATTTATCAGAAGTTATCTGATCTGGTATCTGATTAATTACTCAACCAGAGCATTCTTATTACATCAAACTGCATTAAAATTAAACAGTGATATGTCTGTTTTTGCATTACTTTTAACACAGTGTAAAAAAGTTTAAAAAGTGTAACTAAAGATGCTATCACAGAGCCAGACAGCCTCATGTTAACTTTCTACACCTATTGCAGTACAAACCACAAACACTCTTATTGCTATATGATGGTTTATGTTTCAATAACAGGGTCACTTATGAAAGCTGTATTTAGCATCCCATCATAAGTAATCCATTGTGTCTTATCTGCTTTGGAACAGCACAGAGATTTCATATGTACCAGCTGGACTCAAAAAGTTTCATTTTGTTATGAAATTGTCACTCTATATAATTTTCACACAATATTTTTATATTAATCTCATTGTAGGACTCAATATATGTTCCAAATAAATCTAGATTTTGCTCAAGTGAGGAATACATTGACAACTTGCCAGAAATCCAAGAGCAGCAGCTAACATACATACAATGGAGAACTGCAGCTCCTCTCATCTTTAATACAGAAGTGCAACCCAGGGAAATGATAGGACTGTAGTAGAACTAGTAGGGAAATTTCAACAAAAAAATGGAAACAAATTTTTGATCATTTTCATGTATTTCCCCCCCCCCATTTCCAAACCAGCTTTAGTGTACAGTCTCTATATGCCACAAACTCTATATTATAAATGAGGGAAGACACTGGTCAGATTGTGTTATATGGACAATGCTTTGGCCAACTCTGCAGAAGTAAATCAGTTAAAAAAAAAAAAGTGCACAGCCCAAACAGATGTTAAGATATCAGAGGCATACTCAGGCACAGCAGAACTACAGTCTTTTTTTTTTCCTGAGCAGAGAGTTCCCTTTTGTGAGGATAGAGCACTAAGATACCAATGCATTATGCAACCTGCAATAAAAGTGATGATATGCTGTCATTGCCAAACCCCATTAATGGGGCTCGCCTCCCTCCCTTTTTCCTCTCTGTGTGACTAGTGGAGGCAAAAGGTAGTAAAGGAATAAGGAGAGGAAAGTCAAGGGTTACAACAATAAGATCTTGAAGTTACTTTAAGTTAGGCCTGGACACATTTCAAATGGCCAATTACATCTTTTTTATTGTAATTATTATTATTGCTTACTCACTTGTTGTGGCCATTGTGAAAGATATTAATCTTAAGAAGGGTTCTGAATGAAGAGAATGCAGTGGCTTGGTGGATCCCAATTGGTAGGGTATTCCACGTGTAGAGAGCTGTGTGGATAAAGTCACATGGTGACTTGTGGGAGAAATGGACAATCAGGGTATCTATGGCTGGTGTCATTAACAGATTGGAAGGGGCAGTGCAGAAAGGAAGAAGCTTGAGAAGTCAGAAACTAGATAGGAGGAGAGAATCAGAAGAAGGAGAGACAGGAAGAGGAAAAAGAGAGCAGAGTAGGCAAACAGGACAGAAAATGGCAGAAAATAAAAAAGGAGAGATGCCGCAAACAGTAGCTTTTATCCATAGAGACAACAGGCACTGCCTCATTTATACCTGATCCATGCATTTACACAAACAACATGGAAAATCTACATTGTTCCACTTAAGATAAAGATAAAATCCACTGGGGAGAGTATTTTTGGCATTGAGACTGCATCTTTTTCAAGAATATTTCAGGGAAGGGCAGCTAGAGCTCCCC